ACACACACAACACACACACACACATATATATATATATATATATATATATATATAGATATAGATATAGATATATGTATGTGGTCGCGGTATGTTTGAAGCCATATCGCTATCACTAGTATTATAACTGACCTGTTACTTGCCAGCCTATGTGATCGTACATAAAATATTCGTCCAAAAGAAATGTTTTGGGAGGCTATGTGCATAAAAGTGACAACTAAGGCCAGCATCAGGAATACCAGCCTACAAACTAGAAAATTCATATACATTTCAATTGCGAAAGGTATACTTGTCCGGGTGTAAAAATATAGATATATATATATATATATATATATATATTAACCCCTCCAGTATATGTATATACATACCCAAAGAAATCATGCCTGGTATCGACAAGAAGGGCTGCAATTCACGAATAGCCGAGGGCTGCCTAGCCAAGGATCTCCTGTTGAAGAACGCGTCATAGTTAGGTGCGGTTGAAGCTTCCCTTGCAGCGCACATAGTTCGTAATAGCACCCGGTGGGTCTGACGCGATAAAATCGAGCGTATATTCGGCGTACGTACAAGGTTGTGGGTTCTGTACAGCATAACGAATGCTTGAGAGCTTCAGTCAGTATGAGTGCTCTACTAGGCCACCTGGCTTTATTATAGCCTAATACATGAAAAGACAGCCATGTTCTTAAAAATTTGGCTTTTGCCGTGATGATGGTCGTCTAGAACTATAACTTTATTTACTTTTTTTTCTTATTTTCTATAATGAAAGAACAATCTGAACCCAAAAAAAACGTATTTTAGAGTTCTTGCTCATATTTGGGTTTTCACTTTTATTTCACAGGGTTTTACAAAAGTTCAAACGTTAGGTCCGGTTAGCCTGTGTTTAAGGACTTAGGAGGCTATGTCAAACTGCTATGTTTTTTTTTAGCGTCTAGAGTGTACATTTTATACGAGACTTAGGTGAGGATGCCCAAGGTGCGACAGACTGTCTACAGAATGGTCACAACGATATGTGATGCGGTGTAGCACGTTGGATCATAGTCAATTTGTACCAGATAGCTCAACAGACTTTTCCTTTGAGGATACTGTTACGATATCGAATCCAGCAGGAAAAACTCGTTGTACAGCTGTGCCTCAGACTCTCTCACGTACCTCTCGTTGGGTAATGTCGAGTTATTTAATATGACATCAATTATCGCGTATCGGTAACTCTCGTTGTTGACACCCGCTGTGCGATGATACACAATCAGCTTGACCTACTCCGCAGCTATTTATCTATTGATGTTGACCAGTTAAATACTCGACTATATGTAAGTCCTGCTTTCACCGGCCTATTTTGACTGATATGTATTCGACTTTGTCCCAAACTCTATAGCACACATAAAGCCCCTTACATAGTATGTGTGTATGTATGTGTGTGTGTATGTATGTATGTAAGTGAGTTTGTATGTATGTATGCATTCATCTATATATGTATGTAAATATGTATGTATGCGTAAACATATATACTATATATATATATTCGACGGGAAGTAGTCAATTTGTCAAGCCACACTGGAGAGAGCAGCCTCGAACTGTCTCAGTCGATGTGAATTTTACCTGTCAAAATGATCGATACCGATGGTTCTTGGCAAGATGAGAAGACGTTATGCAGAATCGTATAATATTGAATACATAATTTTTCCCGCGTGTTTTATTCGATCGTTTGATTTCGGAGTTTGGTAAATAGCAATGTCGAAACCATTTCGTCATATGTAGTATAACACACCCAAATCGTAACACTGACTCTGTTGCTGTACTCCAACTAGTAATACGAGTGTCGAAACTTGAGCATTGAATACAAGGTACTAATATACCTTTGGCAGTCGGTATAACAACTAGTCAATCGTACATGTACGCATACCTTGTAGTATATGACTCCTGTACTAGGTAAGAGTTCTTCTCGATGTGCTTGATATTTAATAGCAACTTGAATGTCGGAATTTAAAAGATGAATACGTAATATAAAATTACTTATTTAACATCGCAGCTAGAAGTGCATTAGACAATAAACTGCGTAGCTAAAACTGCAATTTCCAATATTATCTGCTTTCCAAGTTTCTTTTTATATTGTATTTGGAACAATTAGCCTGTCTATATGCTCAAAAAGGTTATACAATTTTCCATAATTTGAAGTAGCCTAATCTTAAACTATTAAATTTGGTTTGCTATAGCCAAAAGAAAAACAGAACCATAACCTATCACTGTATGCAGATAGTAAATATATGTCGATAGCGCAATTTCGATTCTAGAATGTTCATTATTTATTGCTCTATATATTTTAAGTGCGCTGGTTGACATCAAATTGTGGAGACGTGCCATCGGGTCCAACGCTAGCCCATGGGCCGAAATTGCATAGGCAATTGTCGTCGTCATCATCGGGGTATTGGTATAAGGGAAGTCCTCCGATGGTTACCACACCAACGCTGTCAACCTGTACAAACCCATCATCTAGGAGTGGGCTGTCGGGGACAGTGTCATCAAATGTTGGCTTGCAGTCTGGTGTGGCTATAATGTATGGCCAATCATCTCCGGTGAACTTGTGCTGGCCATCGTACTTTTCGTCGGCACATTCTGCTTCAGTGCCTTCACATTCCAGCTCATCTGCTAGTGCATTCGAGTCTAGTCTATAAAAGTATACGCACTTGGCTGAAAAAATTAGCCCTACCTCCATCCGTGTCTTCCTCCATCGCCCCGGTAATAATCAAAGCCGGAGAGTCTGAGTCGTTTCTGGGCTCACTACCGCCATAGCTGATGTTTTTGTCGATTCAAATGACCATCGAGCTACAATCTTCACGACGGACAACGCCGGCATGAGCCATTGAGGAACCGCACATTAGAAGTGCCGCTGAGATTTTGCTGTATGGAAACCATAGTAGCTGTTTATAATGGTGAAAACGCTTTTGAAAGTTAAATATTCTAGATGCTTGAGTATGGTGTAAATTTAAGCTGAGAATGTTGCTTTTATAGTGTCGCACTAGCTACTGAAGATTCTAGTGCTAGTATTTGATATTTCATATCAGTGAATATAAACTGATGAATAACAAAACAAAAATGTGGAATTTTAGTTGCCAGAGAGCAACAAAAATAAACTGATACGTTAAAATAGCCCAATAACCAGAGAGGAAAGCATTATATGATAATAACGCACCGTTGAGATCTATTTTTCTATCTTGGATGGAGGTGGTCTGAATCATTAATCAATTGTCCCTTCATCTCTCTAGAGTCTAGAGAGAGACTCGAGTCTATAATATTCTAGTATGTATCTACAATAGCATAGTATTGAATACATATGTAACCACCCTACTCCAATTTGACTTTTTAATTAAAAACTCTGCGGTTAGTGTTTCTGAAAGCCATTGATATGTACTATAGCCCACAGTAACACCATCGAGCGCCGCGCTGGTCACATTGCCCGATACCAGTAAATGTTCGATACACTAAACCACAAGCAGTCAATTTTAAAACCAGACTGGAAACCAAACTTTACGGGAACATCGCTTTTTTCAAAACTTGTCAGTGGTGCGCAGAAATATCTCGCTAAATCCAACGGGTCAGATTTCAACATAATTGATAGACACGCCAGGAACAGAATAGCGTCGCATACGTTATTTGTTATCCGTGTTATGAACATTTGCATGTGCTGTGGGCAAAATATGACTCACTTGCAACAATATACACTTGCAACATCGATAGATTGGTTAACATCGCAGACGGGATCTGCACCTCAAGGGATGAGTTGTACCTCGTCATACAACGGTTCTGTAGATGGAGATCTGGAATGAGCGTACACAGATTTTAATCAATTCGCGTACAATACGATACAAGGATAATCTCTCCTCTTAAGCACGGCACATCTCCATCACTTAAAATAAGACTAAATCATATTCACGCGAATAAGATTGTATTCAAATGAATATCCATGCGTTCGGTACGCTCATCTCACTGACTCCTCGGATTTTGTCGAAATGTCGGGGGTCACTGGGGGGTCTACATCCACCAGGATATCTTCGGTGGCAAGAACGAAATCGAGCGCTTTACTGTAGCACAATGGTTGAAAAAGCAGAAGGATGAGAAGGCGCCAGTAATCCGAACAGGTTTTTCTTGTGTTGTCTTGTCCTCTTGGAAATTATCCGTAAAGTTCAAAACTAACATAATCTAATAAATTCAACAGTATCCCTATACTCTCAACATATTTCGCACTGTGCTACAGTTCAAAACTATTATATACTAATATAGTAGACAGCATAACAATAGGTAAACGAACTCGCACACACACACAC